CAGCTCCTCCGGCGCCCTTACCCCCCTTGCCCTTGCCTGTGCGGCGCTTCCACGAAGGGGCAGACGCAGCGCCGACCGACTCAAAACCAACGAGGTTGGCCGCAGCAGCAGAAGCAACAGAGGGCAAGAGGGGGGAGGGAGAACACCCCTCAAAGACGGGGGTGCGGGGGTCACCACGAGAGGCTCCTACAGCGACTATGCTCTTCTCCGCTGCTAGGAGGGCCTTTTCGAGGAGGTCAACAGTGAGAGTGGTGGGGCACACTGCGAGGAAGTGGTCCCTGACTACGCGAAGGGAGTCAGGGAGCCGGGTGACTATGTAATAGAGGGTGATATACATGGGGGGGGGGGGGGGGGTTCTTGGCGCTGAACTCAGCAGGAAGCGCAGCGCGGTAGCGAGTGTCACTAGTGCGGAGGTGCGTAATGAGGTCAGCGACTGTGGGAAAGGCAGCAAGGTCAGGGAAGAGGTACGGTAGCATGAGGCGGCTCAGTGCAGCAGTGGCAGGGGAGGAGTAGCGTGCAACTACAGCGTCGTACAAGGACTGAGCACTCTTGTACTGGCTAAAGTGCGCACGCTCAGAGGTAGGCAGGTGGCGACGCACAGCAAGACGTGCAGCAGCATCGCGCGTGGCCCACTGTGAGTGAACAGTGGCGTCAGCATCAGGAGCAGGGGCAGGAGAGGCACCAGAGGTGAGGTCAAAGAGAGAGAGAGCGTCTGCCCTATCGCACTGTAGGAAAAGCTGCAGGTCATCTATCCATACGTCAAAATCAATGGCGCGACCCTCAGCGTCAAAAGCTAGGACACTAGGGGTAGCCATGACAGCAGTAGACCAGCAGCGGGAACAGTAGGGTGAGGGCAGTGCAGTGATAGAGGCGCTGCTCTTACCGGACAGGGCGGCTCGGGCGGCTGGGGCGGCTGGGGCGGCTCGGCGGCTCGGGCGGCCCGGGCGGCTCGGCAGCTCGGCGACTCGGCTGCTCGGGCGGCTCGGGCGGCTCGGCTACACGGCGGCTCGGCGGTACGGCGGCTCGGCAGCAACCGCGGCTCGGCGGCTCGGGCGGCTCGGGCGGCTCGGGCGACTCGGGCGGCTCGGGCGGCTCGGGCAGCGGGCGGCTCGGCGGTGACGGCGGGGCCGCGTGGGGACGGTGGTGGGGCCGGCAGAGACGGCGCCGGGGCCGGGAAGGTAGGCGCCGGGGCCGCAGGTGGCGACGGGGCCGCAGGTAGGCGACGAGGCCGCAGGTGGCGACGGGGCCGCCGGTAGACGAAGGGGCCGCGGTAGGCGACGGGGCCGTGAGGGAAGGCGGCGAAGGCGCCAAAAGGGCGGCGAAGAGGCCGCAGGTGGAGGGTGGCGACGGGCCGCTGAGGGCGGTACGACCGGGCCGCGACAGAGGCGGCGCGACGGGGCCGCGAGAGGGCGGCGCGACGCGGCCGCAAAGGGCGGCGCGACGGGCCGTAAAGGGCGGCGGGACAGGCCGTGAGAGGGCCGCTAAAGGCGACGCGACAGCAGGGAGAGCACACGGGGCGCGACTCGGGCCTGAGCGGAGCGCGCTCCGGGCAGGAAAAAAAAGATTTCGTAGTGGTGGGCCCTAGGAATCGTTCCCGTTAGGGAACCTGCTCGATACCATGAGAAGAAACGAGAATGAATTAACTATGAAACAAGTGGGTACAAGTACTAACTCTAATTGGGTTGTACCCCCTATGGGATACCCCACTACAACCTACACAATATGTATAAGCTACAATGTTCTGACAAGTACAACCCTTTTAGGGTTTGCTATATGTATCCCAGTGTTTGCTAGTGAACCCTCTTTTCTCTCATTCCTCATTTCTCACATGGTATAGAGCTGGTCCCCTCCTGGGACTGTTCCTTCCTAGGGCCCACCACTTCGCTAATTTTTTTTTCCTGCCCTGCCCTTAGCGCGTTTCGCGCTCTGCCGTGCTGCCCGTCGCGGCCCCTCGTGGCCCCTTCGCGGCCCCTCTCACGCCCCCTCGCGCCACCCCTAGCGGCCCCGTCGCCGCCCCTAGCGGCCCCGTCGCCGCCCCTAGCGGCCCCGTCGCCGCCTCCAACGGCCCCGTCGCCGCCCCTAGCGGCCCCGTCGCCGCCCCTATCGGCCCCATCGCCGCCTCCAGCGGCCCCGTCGCCGCCCCTATCGGCCCCGTCGCCGCCTCCAGCGGCCCCGTCCTCGCCCCGGCCATGCTCCGTCGACTGTCGCGGCGCACCGGGGACCCGTGCACCGCCCCCCCCTCTTTTCCCGTCGCCCGTCGCAGCTCCCTGGGGGGCCGCACCTTGGGGGGGGGGGGGGGGGGGCGAGCGTCGCCCCTTCTGCCGCCTGTTTTGGCGCCCTGGGAGGCCGCGCGTCGCCCCCCCTCCCCCTGTAACCTCCCTACCCGCCGTCCCGCCCTGCCCTGTGTTAGGGTCTGGGGGTGGCGAGTAGGGGGTGGTGGGTGTGTGGTCTCCCCTGCTCCTCCTCCTCTGTCTCCCACTGCTGCAGCTGCCGCTGAGGGGGGTGGGTGTGTGGGATTCGACGGAGTGGTGCTAGGGGGTGGGGTGTGAGTGAACCTAGGGGTGCAGTAGGGGGTGTGTGAAATGGGGGTGGGATAGTTTGGGGAGGTTGAAGGGGGTGGCCGCCGTGAAGCCCGCAGCTCCAGTCGCCCGTGAGACCGTTGCGCCAGTCGCCCGTGAGCCCGTTGTGCCAGTCGCCCGTGAGCCCGTTGCTCCAGTCGCCCGTGAGCCCGTTGCTCCAGTCGCCCGTGAGTCTGTTGCTCCTGCCGCTCAGAGTTAGCCGCGGAGCCAGTTACTCCAGTAGCCCGTGTGCCAGTTGCTCCAGTTGCCAGTGTGCCAGTTGCTCCAGTTGCTTGTGTGCCAGTTGCTCAAGTTGGGCCGTGTGCCAGCAGCTTCAGCTGCCGCCCACTACCTCCTCTCCTCTCATAGTCCCTCCTCCTCCACACTTGCCCTTTGCGATAGCCTCTAGCTTTGCTTACATTTTTTAACTTTAAACTGTTGCTTCTTGTACTTGTGCTCAGAATGTGTGGTGACATTGTGATCCACCCTGAGTTTGTTCTGCTTTGCTTGTTGTGCTGATTACACCCCAATTTGACTATGGGGGTGTGTCAGAATATCATGCTTCTCTAGTCTGCAGTGGGGTACTCTATAGTGAGTACAACCCTTTTAGTGTTTGCTATATGTATTCCAATGTTTGCTAGTGAACCCTCTCTTCTCTCATTCCTCATTTCTCACAATTGGAGCGGAGGCCGACTCGGGAGTGGTTCGGCCGACGAAATAGGCCGAACATGTTCGTCGCGTGACCTTCGGGATGTACTCGCTAATAACTGACTACAGTAAGGAAATCTAATTCCTTACAATTTGAGTGGTCTTGGGTTTGCCAGCGGGTGTTACTATTCGGCTTGAAAAAACCCGCTTTGTACCCAAATAATTTTCGTATTCTTATAACGCGTTTCTGTTTCATTGGCTCTGCCTCGATTTCGCCGCCACCTCCCAATTCATCTTTGCTCTCTCCCACATTGCCGAATCAGACCAGATCAGACCAGATCGGACCGAACCAAATAGTACCACTGTTTTGCCCACTGTTCCCATCGCGACGCGGCAACTCCCAGGATCGCCGTCATGCCAGCCGTCGCGGGAAACGCGCTAGCGCACGCCGCGCTGGCCTGTTCGACGCACAACCACAGCCCAGCCGCAAATTACGCTGCAATCCGCGGCGCTGGAGTCAGTAAGAACCGCCGCGAGAAAGGTAGTCGCCGCGATTTACGGAAAGACCTTTCCGATTCGAGTCTCCCACGCAGCCGTTTCACCGAATCCATTTCTCATTGCCTGTCAGTGTCATTCTCTAGCGGCTGCTCATTCCAAAACCAGTGGCGATCTAGAAGTTACCGAAAAACAGCACCAGCCGTTGGATCGCCTGATTCAAACGGCGATCGTACGGACGCGGTACTCTCGAGCAGCCAGCCAGACGAGGCGGCCAAATCTTCAAACGCAGTGGCAACTGCAGCGCCCGAGGCACGAAACAGACCCGCTGACGTGGCAGGTGCTCACCAATCAGAAGCTGACGTGGCAGCTGCGTCGGAGCAAGATGCACGAGACGGGGCAGCACAAGAATCGCTGTCAGCTAGTGCCTCGGAATCAGGAAGAGGATCTGACAAAACAGCCGCGTCCCCACAAGCTGAATCACAGCCAGCGCCGCCAGCGGTAGCAGCAGCGGCAACAGCAGTAGCGCCGCCAGCGGTGGCGGTGCCGGCGCTGGTGGGGCTGGTGGCGGTGGCACTGGTGCTGTGTAACGCGGACCGTGTGATCATGTCCGTCGCCATCCTGCCCCTCTCCACATCCAACGGCTGGCCGCCCAGCGTGGCAGGCATCGTGCAGGTGAGGGCGTGGGCAGAAAGGGAGAGGGGGGGGAAGGGAAGGGGTAGAGGAAGGGGGATCATAACCACAGAAGCGCTGCTGGCGCCGCTGCTTCTGCTCTCCGCATCCAACGGCTGGCCGCCCAGCGTGGCAGGCATCGTGCAGGTGAGGGGGGGAGGGGACAGGAAGAGAGAGGCGGGAGAAGACGGGGTTTGGTTTAGTCGATAAGGGAGTTGGTGGTGGCCCAGAATAAACGAAATCGAAGACATGAATAACCCTCTCCTTTCTATCGATCGCCTGGGTCTTTCGTAAGTCCACTCAAACTTCCCTTCCCTTCCCTTCCCTTCCCTTCCCTTCCCTCCCATGGCTCCCCTTTTCCCACTTCCCCTCCCATGGCTCCCCTTTACCCCCTTCCCCTCCCATGGCTCCCCTTTCCCCCCTTCCCCTCCCATGGCTCCCCTTTCCCCCCTTCCCCTCCCCCAGCCCTCCCAGTCCTCGTTCCTAAAGGGCTATCTCATAACGCCCATCGCAGTTTCCTCTTCACCCACACACCTCCCACTCCTGTCCCCTTCCTCCCCACCCCGATCCCTCCCTCTCCTCCCCTCCCAGTCCTCCTTCCTGTGGGGCTATCTCATAACGCCCATCATGCCTAATTCCCGCTTCACCCCCCCTCGCCCACCTATGCCCTCCCCCCCTCCCTCCCCCCCTTTCCCCTCCCCACCTTCCCAGTCCTCCTTCCTATGGGGCTATCTCATAACGCCCATCATCGGGGGGTCGCTCGCCGACCGTTATGGCGGGCGCCCCGTGCTGGCAGCTGGGCTGGCGCTCTGGTCGCTGGCCACACTGCTCACTCCCTCCGCTGCTGCTCATTCGTTGGGTGCCCTCTTAACTGTGCGCGCTGTCATGGGGCTGGGGGAGGGCGTTGCCCTACCCTGCATGAACCACATGGTTTCACGGTACGTACACCAGTTTCAGGGGTTTTCAAACGGCTCAAGCTGTGCTGGCAGCAGGGCTGGCGCTGGCGCTCTGGCCGCTCGCCACCCTGCTCACGCCCTCCGCTGCAGCACACTCTCAGGGCGCTCTGTTACCTGTGCAGGCAGTCATGGGGCTGCGGGAGGGGTGGCTCTGCCATGCATGAACCACATGGTTTCACGGTACAAACTGTCTAGAGGGGGTTTCAAGTGTTTTTTTTTTTTTTTTTTTTTTTTTTTTTTGCGTTACGGCGGCCGTTGTGTGCTGGCAGCAAGGCTTGGGCTCTGGTCGCTCACCACACTGCTCACGCCCTCACGCCTTAGTGCTCATCCTCAATCTTCCCCCCATCCCTCGTCCATCCCACGTCCCCCAACCCCCCCGCACTCTACTGAACCGTTACGTGCCAGAGAAGAGGAGAGCATGTGCTACAGGTATCTGCTCCGCAGGCTTCCATGCGGGCAGCATGCTGGGGCTGCTGTCAGCGCGCTCGCTTATGGCCCGTCCACCCCTTCCACCCCTTCCACCCCCATGTCCCCGTTCCACCACAACCCCTGTACCCCGTGCCCCGCCCCCCCGCCCCCCCATCCCCCACCACAGCTACGTGCCAGAGAACAGGCGGGCCTGGGCCGTAGGAATCTGCTTCGCGGGATTCCACGTGGGCAGCATGCTAGGGCTGCTCTCCGCTCCTTCCCTCATGGCCCTGCCGGGTCTGGGATTGACCGGCCCCTTCCTGATCTTTGGAGCGCTGGGGCTGCTCTGGCTCGCGCTCTGGCTGCTCCTCGTGCCTGCTGATGCCGCTGCTGCACCTAGTGCTTCTGCTGCCTCTTGTGCTCATAGTTTTGAGTCGACTCAAAAGGTGCCCGGCGATGCTCCTGCTGCGCCTAGTGCTTCTGCTGCCTCTGGTGCTGTTAGTGGCGGGCAGCTGGACGGGAAGCAGAGGATGCAGAGTGGGTCGCGCGTTACGGTGTGGCAGCTGCTGTCGCACCCGGCCTCATGGGCCATCATCATCGCCAATACCGTCAATAACTGGGTGAGACGAGAGGCGCATGGGTCACTTTTTTTTAGGCGCCTAAAAAATCGTCACTTGGACAGGTATCACCACCGCCTCATTCACCGCGCCTCATCCACCGCGCCTCATTCACCGCCCCTCATCCACCGCCCCTCATCCACCGCCTTGTCACTTGGCTCATGACAATGACAGTGTGGCAGCTGCTGTCGCACCCGGCCTCATGAGCCATCATTTCATGCCACCGCGAGCTCCATCAGTGCATCGGTCACTTTCACAACCGTCAATACCAGCACTACCATCATTATCAACAACTCATTACCATTGCTCCTCCCCCCTCGCTCCCCCCCTCTTGCCAGGGCTACTTCATTCTGCTCTCCTGGATGCCACTCTACTTCAACCAGGTGAGTTGTTTTGTTAGTTAGGGCGGATGGAGTCCTATTTTTGCAGGTCGGTTCTGTAAATTCTGAACAACGACCCTCACCAGGGCTACTTCATTCTGCTCTCCTGGATGCTACTCTACTTCAACCAGGTGGGTTGTTTTGTTAGTTAGGGCGGATGGAGTCCTATTTTTGCAGGTCGGTTCTGTAAATTCTGAACAACGACCCTCACCAGGGCTACTTCATTCTGCTCTCCTGGATGCTACTCTACTTCAACCAGGTGGGTCATTCTTGAACGTGCCGCTAAACTCATAATGGAGTAGCTGCAAACCGGAAGAAACGCTTAAGCATCTTATGGAAACGAAACGGTAAAACTTCCCAGAGATTCGAGCAGTACAAGAAACTCTCGCAGGAATCCTGATCGCAAAAGTTTGGTTCAGGGTTTACAGCTACTCCATTATGAGTTTAGACACTCTACTTCAACCAGGTGGGTCATTCTTGAACGTGCCTCTACTCTACACACCCACACCCGCTCTGTTCACTTGTCTGCTGTGCGTTGGCCAGGTACATCTTTGTTGAGGGAAATTCTTTTGAGAATTCTCTTAAGTGATTTCAATTCGTCAGCCAGGTACATCTTTGTTGAGGGAGCACACAGGTACTTTGATTGACAATTCCTTTTGCTCTTCCACCGTCCCTTCTCTCCAGTCGTCTCGTCCACCCTCCTCTTCCCTCCCCCTGTTGTCTCTTCCACCCCCCTCACACACTCACCCCTTTCTCCTGCCCTCACCCCACCAGGTGCTGCACACGGACATCCGCCAGGCGGCGTGGTTCAGTGTGGGCCCATGGGCGGTCATGGCGGGCATGGGGCTGCTGGCAGCACAGATGGCTGGCAGCCTGTCATCGCACACCCTCCCACTTACTGTCACTCCCCCACACATCCGCTCCCACTCTGCCCTCACCCCACCAGGTGCTGCACACGGACATCAGGCAGGCAGCGTGGTTCAGTGCGGGGCCATGGGCGGTCATGGCGGGGATGGGGCTGCTCGCAGCAGGGGTGGCGAACCGCATGGAGGGCAGACAGGGCATGACCCGCACCGCCGTGCGCAAAGTCATGCAGGTAGGCTTGACAGTGACATCTCGTGAACTGTAAAAAGAAAAAAAGACTCAAACGTTCATACCCCAGCTGTTGCTCCACTTATTCACCCCACACATCGCTCTGCTCTCGTCTCCATGCCTTCCCTTCTTCTCCCTCAGGCCGGCTGGTTTCTGGGTCCAGCTGCGTCGTTGCTGCTGCTCACCTGCATGAACTCTGCCACCCTGCCTGCTCACCTGCATGAACTCTGCCACCCTGCCTGCTCACCTGCATGAACTCTGCCACCCTGCCTGCTCACCTGCATGAACTCTGCCACCCTGCCTGCTCACCTGCATGAACTCTGCCACCCTGCCTGCTCACCTGCATGAACTCTGCCACCCTGCCTGCTCACCTGCATGAACTCTGCCACCCTGCCTGCTCACCTGCATGAACTCTGCCACCCTGCCTGCTCACCTGCATGAACTCTGCCACCCTGCCTGCTCACCTGCATGAACTCTGCCACCCTGCCTGCTCTCTCCCTCACTGCTGCTCTTTTACAAAATCTCCCATTCCCATCTGCCACCTTGCTCTCATCTCCACTCCACTTCTCCCCACCATCTCCCCTCAGACTGCCAGGTTCCTGGGTCCAGCTGCGTCGCTACTGCTGCTGCTCACACGCATGGCCACCGGCCCCCTCGCTGCACTATGCCTCACTGCTGCTCTTTTTAGTGAATCGCTGATCTGCCACCATGCTCTCTTCCGGGTGGAGAAAAACGCACCTGAAGCTTTGTGTTCTGTGTTTGAACGCTTGCATTTGAACGCAAAACGCTGAACGCACAGAAAAACGCAGAACACATGAAGATTTTTTTTTTCCGGTCAGCCCGAATGTCATTTTCGCCAAAAATCTACCCCTTTCAACCCAAATCGACCCCTGAAAACCAGCCCTCCAACCGAAATTCCCAACCCCCCACTAATATGATGGGAAAGAATATTATGTGGGGGAAAGCAATTGCTCAAATCTGTGCAATATCCTTCCCCCCTCCTCCCGATGCCCTATTGGAAGTTTTTTTTGCCTGCCCGGTAGTTATTTTACCCTGCCCGGCCATGCGTTTTTGTAGCGTTTTCAGGACCCCCAAAAAAGTGTTCTGCGTATTAAACGCAGCGTTCAAACGCCAGCGTTTAAAACGCTGAACGCGTTTTTCTCCACTCTTCCCCACCTCCTCCCCACCGTCTCCCCTCAGACTGCCGGGTTCCTGGGGCCGGCTGCATCGCTGCTGCTGCTCACGCGCATGACCTCCGCCCCCCTCGCTGCCCTCTGCCTCACTGCTGCTCTCGGCCTGAGTGCATTTAGCCAAGCCGGGTGGCTCCTCAACCACAAGGTGCGCGCTCTGCAACCCTCTCCCTCTGCCCCTCATTCCCCTCCTCTTCAACCCCCCTCTCCCACGCTCACTCTCTCCCTCACTGCCCTCTCACTGCTGCTCTTGGCCTGAGTGCGTTCAGCCAAGCCGGGTGGCTCCTCAACCACAAGGTGCGCGCTCTGCAACCCTCCTCTCCACCCCTCGCTTTCTCCATCGCTTAATCTCTTACTCTTCCTCACTGCTGCTCTCGGCCTGAGTGCGTTCAGCCAAGCCACAAGGTGGCGCGCTTAGCAACTCTCGTGCTCTCTCCCCCCCACCCCCCCTCCGCCTCTCTCTCTCTCTCTCTCTCTCTCTCTCTCTCTCTCTCTCTCTCTCTCTCTCTCTCTCTCTCTCTCTCTCTCTCTCTCTCTCTCTCCCACTCACTCACCCTCTGTGTCGCTCCACAGTAGGCTCTGAGATCTTCAGCCATTCAAACCTCTTTTGAGGCGCCTCAAAAGAGATCTTCAGCCGTGCAAACCTCTTGCTAAAAGTGCTATTTTGAGATGTCTCAGAATATCACACCACTCACCCTCTGTGTCGCTCCGCAGTAGGCTCTGAGATCCTCAGCCGTGCAATGTTCTTGCTTGCTCAATCGCAACACAAGTGCCCTGCACACGCCTGCAACCTTCTTCAATCCCAATAATCTGCTTCTTTTCTGCCTGTCACACTCCACCCCTCGCAAACTTCGCCGTTCAACCCACCTACCTACCCACCTACCTACCTACCTTTTTCTAACCCCCATCTCCCCACACCTCTCCCATGCTCCAAACCGTCTCCTCCGCCCTCCTCTCAACAGGACATAGCACCGCGCCACGTGGGTCTTCTGCATGGTGAGTCGCTGTGAGCTGCTGTGAGCTGCTGTGGTTTTGGAAAGTTTCAAAAGCTGTCATGCGTCTACTTTTGAGGCGCCTCAAGAGTGGACATAGCACCGCGCCACGTGGGTCTTCTGCATTGAGGTTGCTCTGCCTCAATATGCCTTGCTCTTTTCTGCTCGTTGCTTCACGTGTGCTGCATCGACCAAGGTGCAAACGCCGTGTCTCCAGTAAATCACACCTCAACAATGAGGTGTATTTTGAGGCGCCTCAAAATGTATCTCCAGTGAATCACGCCTCAACAATGTGCTGTGCTGCAGCAGTTACTGAAGCGCCTATTTGGGAATCACTTATGAGAATTCTCTAACGTGAATCACACCTCAACAATGTGCTGTGCAGCAGCAGTTACTGAAGCGCCTCATGAACATGACCCTTCTATGTCTTTCTCCTCAACAATGTGACTTTTGAGGCGCTTCAAAAGCTGCAGCAGTTACTGAAGCGCCTCATGAATATGACCCTTCTATGTCTTTCTCCTGAACGATGTGCGTCAGCGAATGCTCTGTCTGCCTCCTTTCCCCCTCCTCATCCCCTTACCTCTCCGCTTCCCCACCACCCGCCAGGTCTGTCCAACACAGCGGGCACCACAAGCACCGTGGCACAGGCTTCATGGTGGATAGGCTGGTCTGTACCCTTGAGGCTTCACAGGAAGTTCATTTGCTCATCCTTCCACCTCTTCCCCCGCAATTCACCACATACCAGGTCTGTCCAACACAGCGGGCACGCTGGCAGGAATAACGAGCACAGTGGCAACAGGCTTCATGGTGGAGCAGCTGGGCTCGTTCCATGCAGTGTTGGCAGTCACAGCAGCGCTCTACGTGCTTGCCACAGCCTTCTGGCTCGCATACGCCACCGCCGATGTTGTATTCCCATAAGGGCTTCCTTTTGAGGAATTACTGGGTGATGACACTGGTGGTTCCATGCAGTGCTGGCCGTCACGGCAGCGCTCTACGTGCTTGCCATGGCCTTCTGGCTCGCATACGCCACCGCTGACGCTGTCTTCCCATTAGCGCTTCCACTTTTTTAAGGACCTTTGAAACCTGTCCATTGAAGTCATTCCCATGAAAGTTGGGTGGTGGGTCGTCTGATGCAGTGCTGGCTTTCACAGCAGCGCTTCACGTGCTTGCCTTGCCATGGCTTACTGGCTCATATATGCCACCGCGTGTAGTGAGGTGTATTTTGAGGCGCCTCAAAATACGTCTGATGCAGTGCTGGCTGTCACAGCAGCGCTCTACGTGCTTGCCATGGCCTTCTGGCTCGCGTATGTCACCGCTGCTGACGTAGTTTTCCCGTAAGGGCTTCCCATCCCGCAAGGGCTTCCCATCCCGTAAGGGCTTCCCATCCCGTAAGGGCTTCCCATCCCATCCAAGGACTTCTCCTGATAAGATTCACAGTGGAAGGCTCGAGCTGGGCTCCTTTCCTTTCTTCCACACAGCACTAGCCAGCCACTCTTTTGAGGCGCCTCATTAGCCAACCAATAGCTTTCCAAATGCATTTGTGACTGTCATACCTGTCGTGGAAAGGCTGCCCCCCCCCCCCCCCCCCCCCCCCCCCCCCCCGCTTGATTGCTGCAGAATTAGGGTTGACGTTATTTCGAAGCACCCCAATAACCAAGCAAGTAGTGTAAGGGCTGAGCTCCTCTCTTCCTTGCTGCACTAGACACTCGTTACAGCAGAACCCGGGGTGCATTCTCGCAGGGGCCTTTTTGTCGCTTGTCACTTGCGCTGAAATGATACATGTCTATTTAATGGAAAGCTGCTTGCCGGAAAATTGTTTTTGTTGTGTTTCCACAACATGCTGCTGGCTCAAGATGAAGGTGCTCAAGACAGGTCAGGTCAGTCAGCAAACAAATCAGTGGCCTACATTCAGGTGTGCAAAAAAGCACAAGATGTATAAATACCACAGGACACTAATAATTTACAGTGGCAGCAACTGAGACATCTCCAAACTTCCCTACCACAGCCTCCTATCAAGAAACTGTCAAATGTTATATATTCTTTATATTGTTAGTCTAGGCTACAGTGAGTTGCCCTCTAAAGGGTACAACACTTTAGGTCGACACTTGTATCCCTTGCCTCTCACTACTCAATCACCACTTTTTCGATACTTCTCTCCTAGCCTAGTTTAAGATGGTATCAGAGCAGGTTTTAATCCCTCCCACGCTTCCGCTCCCTCCCTTAGCCAGTCCCGAGGCGCCCGTCCCTTAGGCCCCGTTGCGTCGCGGGTAGGACGGCCCCCGCGGGCCTCGTTTTCGTCGCGTTTAAGGGGCCCCCGCGGGCCTCGTTTTCGTCACGTTTACGGGCCCCCCGCGGGCCTCGTTTTTCGTCGCGCTTAAAGGGCCCCGCTGGCCCCTCGTTTCGTCGCGCTCCAGAGGGGAATCTCCCCCCCCCCCACCCGCGGGCCCGCGTAGTCGTCCTTAGCCCGCAGCAGCGCGCGCGTTAGCCAGCGGCAGCCGCGCACGCCACTGCAGCACGCACATTGCAGCAGCAGCGCGTGCATTGCTGCAGCAGCACGACTAGGCAGCAGCGCGTGCATTGCTGCAGCAGCACGGCTAGGCAGCAGCGCGTGCATTGCTGCAGCAGCACGGCTAGGCAGCAGCGCGTGCATTGCTGCAGCAGCACGGCTAGGCAGCAGCGCGTGCATTGCAGCAGAAGCACGGCTAGGCAGCAGCGCGTGCTCCTGCAGCAGCAGCACGGCTAGGCAGAAGCTAGCCGCCAGCAACAGCTAGCCACCGGAACCTAGCCGCCAGCAGTTGGCGCCAGCTAGCACCTCCCACCCGCTCACATCCCCTTCCAGCCGCTCACAGCCCCTTCCAACCGCTCACAGCCCGTTCCAACCGCTCACAGCCCGTTCCAACCGCTCACAACCCGTTCCAACCGCACACAGCCCCTTCCAACCGCTCACAGCCCCTTCCAACCGCTCACAGCCCCTTCCAACCGCTCACATCCCCTTATCTCGCGCGCACACCACCTAGGACCACCCGACCTCCGTTGGTTCGTCACTCGCGTCACTCATACTCACAGTGTTTCGCACCGTCGCGGCTGGAGGCCGCTCCGCTTAGCTGTTTAGGGTAGCCTTGACGTTCGTTGTTAGCTAGGTCTCTCCTCGCTCCGCCAGCCCCTCGAACGACTCTCTGGCTCCTCGATCGGCTCGTAAGCCCTGCCTCCTCCAGCCGTTTACTAGACTGGCGTTCCTAGCTCTGTTTTCCTCCGTGCTCCAGCAGTACTCCGCCGTTCTCCCTCCTGGCGCTCCGTAGGTTTCCTCCTCGTTCTTAGCTCAGCCTCTGCCGAGCTCCAGCCGCCTCTAGCATGGCATCAGTCATGGAGTCTCGTCGCCTCCGTTTCGACGCGGAGGGACGCCCAATAGAGTTTAGCTCCTGGCAGCGCCAGACCACGCGCTTCCTCACCAGCCAGCGGCAGGACGGCGCCACTCTGTGGGCTCACGCGTCTGGTGCCCTACAGGCCCCCCCGTCCCCCGCCGCCCTGCCGACCGCCCCGGAGCCGACCCCTACGGCCTAGGCGGACTACGACCGTCGGGTCCTGGCCAGGGACGTGTGGCTCTCGCGTGACGCAGCCGCCGCTCTCACTCTGTCGGAGCTTCTCCCCCCGACTGAGGCCGCCCACTTTGACCAGGTGGAGACTGCACAGGGGGTTTGGGAGGCTATTGTTGCTCGCTACTCCACCCCCTCCTCTGCCTCCCTCGGTCGCCTCCTCATGCCGTTTGTGTTTCCCGACCTAGGCTCGTTTGCGACTGTTTCCGACCTAGTGACTCACCTCCGCTCGCTTGACGCCGGTTTCCGCGCTGCCTGTACCGACGCACAGCTTCTTGTTGCTCCCCCCCCCATGTGGCTCACTCTTCACTGGTTAGTCACCCACCTCCCTGACCGCCTTGCCACTGCCCGCGACGCGCTTCTTCAGAAGCACCCCACTGAGCTCACTATCGACCTCCTAGCGACTGCTCTAGGGACCATCGAGAGCAGTCTCCTCACCGTTGCCTCCGCCACTGATGCGGTGGCCCCCCGTCTCTTTGCGGGGTGTGCCGCCCCTCAGCTTCCCACTTTCACCGCTACCCGCGCTTCTGCTGCTGTGTCGGTCTCTGAGGACACTGCTGCCGTTTCTGCCGCAGACTGGCAGAAACGGGGCAAGAGTGGCAAGAAGGGCGGGAAGGGGGGAGGTGGGGGCGGTGGAGGCGGCGGTGGAGGTGGCGGTGGAGGTGGGAGCGGCG